TTCTCACCTACATCGTCCATATAGGACGACTCGGGAACTCAACTCCTACCCCGGGCAGCTCACCTATCCCCTTATGCCCAGGGGAAAGGTATCAGGCCGTTTGACAGCTGGTACTGGCTGTCAAAACGGCTTTTACGCGAAACAGGCGGGAGGCAGCAAACAGCTGCGACCGACGAAGTCGCCTGCCACCGGAAGCCCAATCGAGCAATTAATCTTCTTGACTGCAACTTAATTTATGGCCCTGATTTTTTGCACCTGACGTTTGAATTCTTCTTTCCAGTTTAGTCTGCTATGTGACTCCATCTCTTTGTCTAGAAAACCATTGTGGCTTGTTCAGCATCAAAATTTAGCATTAGTTTTAAATCAGGTTTAGGAAACAAAGCAGGATCAGAAACCATTGTTTGTATTTGATGTATTACAAACAATACTTCTTGACCTGCATTGTTTCTTCAAACTATAGTTTAAACTAATTATGATTCCAGTGTTGGGTTGGGAAATTATTGTGGGAAATTTCTACTTACATTTGCCCCCAGCACACTCCCAGTCAGCCCCTATATCTAGACCAAAGCAAGCCACACACAACATTCAGTACAGATAGCAAAAAATATAGCTGGAATGTTTATTCATTAAACATCAGAAAATATTAAAACAGTTACCTGGGAAAAAGTAGGATAAATGGCAGGGAAATGCAGGGAGAGGGGGAAAAAAAGAAACAGACAACAGACAAAAGAAACATGAACAACAGACAAGAATTTACATTATATTTCTATATCTATTAAAAGGCTTAAACATTTTAGACCCCATGGAAATGTAATTGTGAGTAATTAGTGTGGACAACCCAAAGGGAGTTGCGTTTAGTTGTTCCAGCCTTAATCATTTTAGGTTCATAACAGCAGCAGAATACAGATGGAAAGTAAAATACTTCTTCTATTCTGTACCATGAAAGAAACTATTTGACAGTGGTAATGATCTGTCCAACATTTTGCACATTACAAGGTTTCTTTGTACCTATGCTAGTGTGGAGAATACCTTTAAATCTGCTATATGTAATGCTAGACCATTACTTTAAAACTCAGCTATTAATTCCAGGATGGGAAAAAAAATGTTTCTGAGCAGCCATGGCCTTGACTTTTGCATTTTAGAACTTCATCAAATGTAAGGAGCTAATTGAGTGCTAGAAACATGGTTTAGGAATTTTCCATCTAAATTTGATTAAATATCTATTTCTCTAATAAAAAAAGTCTGCAGATTTTGAGAAGCTTCAGTTCCCACTAAACGTTCTTAATTGTTTTAATATCTTGAAACTCAATTACAATTGCATAATTTTGAAAAGAAATACACCTTTTCTATTGTTCTTTTACTTTTAGAATAAAAATGTTAATGAAGATAAAGCAAGGTCATTAGAGGACAGTGGGAGGAAAAATTATATCTAACCTAGCAAAGACACTTTTTCTCAGGAAGAAATTAAAGGTGCCCCTGCTTCAATAGCATTTCACTGAAGGGGATTAATGTTCCATTACCTTTTTTGTTAATGGAATGACTTTGTAAACCTTTATTTTAAATAAAAGATACAATTATCTTTAATATGCATAATGTCTTGTTCATATATAAAGCAAAGCCACATTCTTTTCAAATAATAGTTGAAAGATCATATTAGTCTGGTTCATGTAGCAGAAAACCAACCCAAATGGATTCAGGCATAATAGTGCAAAATATGAGAACCCAAATTATGGCTCAGTTGATATGTTAAAAGGATGTATTGTTTTTAAAAATATGCAGTTGTGCTTTTATATTTAAGGTAGTTTGGGATTTTGAATTGGGAATCAATAACCAAACACAGGTATGCATTTTTTTATGCAGAAATCCTTGCTCCAAAGGATTTACTCTTCTTTACCAGAAAAGCTCATTGAATTAGGCCGGGGGTAGGCAACCTTGGCTCTTTTATGAGTCGTGGACTTCAACTCCCAGAATTCCTAAGCCAGCATGGCTGACTCAGGAATTCTGGAAGTTGAAGTCCACGAGTCATAAAAGAACCAAGGTTGACTACCCCTGAATTAGGCCATCTGCCACTTTCCTTCTGTTGATTAAAGGTGCCTTGGACCATTTTAATGTAAATATGGGTCAAAGAACACATTCAGAATTATCATAAATATACAGGCAACTAGTTCAAAATCTAGGTAGAGATATTACATGTAGGAGATCAAGTGTCTAGGCAGAGATGCTTACCAAAGTGAATCATTCTCTGCACACTGAAAGTGAAGACTCAAAATATTTATTCTAACTTAGTGTCCTCAGTGACATGTTACTAATCTGATAGGAAGCAGAGGTTTTTCTTTCCAAATAATTTCCTGTGAGTTAGAGGAATATAAGTCATCTTATATTCTGAGAATAGAAGATACTTTGAAGACAAATAAATGGCTGAAGATGCAAATGTTTGCAAATAGCACTGCAAAATTTGTTCTGTGCAAAAAAACAGTGCAAATAGCATGTTGTACTAGAATAAATGTTCTGAAGATCAGTCTGAAGCTTAGCCTTGTTTGAGAGGGACTATTTGCCTCCTAAACTGAACTCTTTTTGGGATCCTTAATTGATTCTTTCCTTCCCTGTTCAGATAACTTTGCCCCATATATCCACCTAGTCTTGTTCCTTCTTCCTTTTTTCTTTACCAAAATACTTTTCTCTTGTTTTCACTTTATTCATAATGATGATGATGATAAGAATAAGAATAAGAACAGAATAGAGGCATGGGAAGACAAAGCACTACATGGCCAGTAAATTAAAAAAATAGCTGGGAAAGCAGATAATAACAAGACCTGGCAATGGCTAAGACCAGGAAAGTTGAAAAAAGAGACCGAGGGACTAATTCTGGCTGCACAAGACCAAGCCTTAAGGACAAATGCATACAAAGTCAAAATTGAGAACACAGCAACAGACAGTAAGTGCCGCTTATTCAAAGAAGCTGAAGAAACAGTGGACCACCTGGTAAGCTGCTGCAAGAAGATCGCAAAGACTGACTACAAGCAGCGGCATGACAAAGTAGCAACAATGATGCATTGGAAGATCTGCAAGAAATATCATTTGCCTGTAAGCAAGAACTGGTGGAATCATAAAATAGAGAAAGTCATAGAAAATGATAAAGTTAAACTGCTCTGGGACTTCAGAATTCAAACAGACAAGCACCTGCAACATAACAGCCCGGACTTAACAATTGTCGATAAGAAAGACAAAAAAGTCTGGATAGTGGACGTGGCAGTGCCTGGAGACAGCAGAATAGACGAGAAAGAACTGGAGAAGATAACAAAAAACAAAGACCTACAAATAGAAATAGAAAGACTGTGGCAAAGGCAAGCAAGGATAGTACCAATAATAATAGGTGCCTTGGGTGCAATCCCAAAACAACTGAAGCACCACTTGAACATCATTGGCATTGACAAATTCGCCATTAGTCAATTGCAAAAGGCGGCTTTACTAGGAACTGCTTCCATCCTGCGACAATATCTGTAATACCATCAAACATCCACATCTGCCTATCCCAGGTCCTTGGTAAGGACTCGATAGGTAGACAAAAATGCCAAATCATCTGGCTGACTGTGCGATGATCAATAATAATAATAATAATAATAATAATAATAATAATAATAATAATAATAATAATAATAATAATAATAATAATATAAAAATAGAGTTGGAAGGGACCTTGGAGGTCTTCTAGTCCAACCCCTGCTCAGGCAGGAAACCCTATACCATTTTTCTTTCCTGTACCTTTTCTTTGTGTGTCTGAAAGAGAAAAGAAAACATTGGGAATTTCAATATGAAAGGTTTGTAAATCAAACAGAGTATGGTTAGTATGAACAGAGAGAATGTATATTGATCATAGAAACAAGCACAATTCTTAAGTATTAGATATTCAGTCAGTTGATTAAAAAGGACAGATACACACAGAGAAACACACAAATACGCATATATATGTCATTTTTATCAACTGAATGAAATCCTAGTAGTTCCTCCTTCCAAACATTGTATGTATGCATACATACATACAGTACATAGTTATCCACACAGTTTGAGGGAAGGTGGAACTATTAGGATTTATTTCAACTGGAGTTAGTAAGCTTAGGAGGTACCTTGTACAGGATTTTTCCTCTGTTTTTTTTCCAATCTACTTCTCATTTGGAAGAGTTAAATTCAGGATTGTTCACCCCTTCATATAAATACAATAGTTATATATATGTACTGGTGTTTTACCCTCCTTTTCCCCACTAATTTAGACTTTCTTTCAAATATGCTTTACTCCCCCAAAGAGAAAACTTCTCATGCTAAAAAGATATAGTTGAATTTTAAATAGAAGCATATTTAAACATGCATAGGATAAAGCCCCTAGAATTTGCTCAATTGTATTTGAGTAATTCCATGCTAGTTTATTTCTTCAGGTTAACTATCTGTAAACCCACTGTTATCATCTTTTAATTTTCCCTAAAACTTCTAAATTTTTCCTGGCTTCTTTTTGTCACTAACTGTCTATATCTAAAGTCTATTTTGTACTTTATTAAAAAAAAAAGTTTGAAAAAGTTAAATGAAGGTAATCTTTTCAAGGTAAGCAAAAGTAAAATGATTTATAATAAGCATTAGATACTGTTGAAGAAATGTGTTAATAGCTACAATACTCAGATCTCCAGTGAAATTGTTTTGATATACAATGAGTTTGAAATAAGAAATATCCAAATCAAGCTGAATCCCCAAAGACATGATTAAAATCTGTTTTTCTATTCATTTGTATGTATTTTTTTTTAAAGAAACACCAATTTATTCTTGCCATAATTGCAGTATTTAATCCATGAAGAATTACACCTTTCAACTTTTACATGTTCAGTATTGTGTGTGAGCATATATTTCCACCTAATTATGTGCATTTTGTTTGAAGACTTGAAAGGGAAAAAAGAAAAATGACTAGTCAATTAATTAATTTAATGAATGTCCTATAAATAAATCAGCAAATTTTTCACTAATATTTTAACTTATGAATATACAGTACATCATTGAACTGGTGAGTCTGTTTTCTTATAAAATACCTGGAATATTTTTTTATGGAACTATTACTCACTATAAATTTGTAGCTTCCAAAACTTGCCTTTGTAATCTGTATTAGTGTGGACTTGGTTTATATTTTAGAATTGATGACGTTAGGCACTTTTACTCTCTGAATTAAGATAGAACACCCTTTATATTGGTTGACTCAGCCTTCCATCCTTCCAAGGTCGGTAAAATGAGGACCCAGATTGTTGGGGGCAATATGCTGACACCTAAACTGCTTAGAGAAGGCCGTAAAGTACTATAAAGTCTAAATGCTAGTGCTGTTGTGATTATATGATGTATATTATTTATTTTAAAAATGTGCTGAATCACTTTTAGGGATTTCCTACTTATTTTGCTAAGTGGGATTTTCTATTCCGTAGTCTTGTCCCAGTAACACTGTTGTTATAAATGAACAGTTGAACACAAGTATCGCTTATCACTTAGTTGTAAACAGGTCAATTTACAACACGGAGACAGGCATGACAATCAACTGCTTCATAACTTGACTCAGAAACCATTAAATTGTAGTTCTTTCATTCTTGTTAATCCCAAACAGGTTTTCTTTTATTAGTTTTGTTTTTTAAAATTATTTTCGTTTGTTTTAATATGTAGAAGTAAAGGCGACAGGGAACATAGAAAAAAGGAAAAGTCTGCTATTTGTTTATTTAAGAAATTGCTGTCCATTTTTTTTTCTACAGAAAATGCAATTCAGGCTTTTGGCAATGGTACAGATGTGAATGTGTGGCAACCATTCCTACCTGTCCAAACCACCACAGCTTTAACTACAACAGGATACAGATCAAAGACATATGACTCTGAGAATGCCAACAATGAAATACCTACTAATAATGACTTGCCAGCATGTGCCAACATCAAGGTAAGAAATAACTGCAATTGGACAGTTATTTAAAATTGGGAGGGGAGAGGATTGTTGAACAGATGAAGGGCATGCCCTTGCTAAATGTTTGTGCATATCAAAAAATCCAAGCTTCCTTTTTTCTGTCTATATTGCTACTTAACAATATATTGTCGGAATGATGCATCCAAAAGATTATGTTAAGCCGGTTAGTTCTGATTTTATGTTACTGGAATCCTGGTTCCATAGAGCAGGATGAGTCATTAACTGCAAGAAATTCAGAAAAGAACTTAACAGCCTGAATGGATGTTTCACACAAGGCTGGATTATTAACTCATGTTATATCATTGCTTTAGACATGATTCATTTTAAAAAAATCATTGGTCCATACGTAACATTAAACCATAAACAATTCATAATGGTAAACTGTACCAAAATGGTGGGGTGTACACATTGCACTGTGCTAAAAGAACCAAAGTACTTTACTGTTATGTGTGAATGATATCAATAATGTACAGTTGATATCAATAGTAGGTGGAAATTAGATGGTGGATTGTTAACAAAATGGTGCAGAATATAGCCATGTGAGCAATTTTCAGCAGCCCTGGGATGGTGCATATAACACCTTTGGTGCATGAGCTTGGTTTGCTTCCAGGTCCAATTCAAGGTGTTGGTTAGACAAACGGCTATCCAGTCTCTTCTTAAAAACTTCCAGTGTTGGAGCATTCACCACTTCTGGAGGCAGGTTGTTCCATTGGTTAATTGTTCTAACTGTCAGGAAGTTTCTCCTTAGTTCTAGGTTGCTTCTCTCCTTGATCAGTTTCCACCCATTGTTTCTCATCCTGCCTTCAGATTAAGCCAGATTATCTGAGGCACTGGTTTACCCACATCACATTGACCCATCCTACTGGATCAGGCAGGGAAAGTATATAACAGACCCTAGCTGTTAAAGAATTTTGACTGGTGGAGTCCAGGAAGAGACCCATCTCTGCTGTTGCCCCACCCTGTGAAGCCTCCTTTCCCCAGAGATAGAACATGCAGACCTGGCTCTGCCAATTCCCATGGAAGTTGAAGAGAGGCATGCAATCCTGGGGGCATGCAATCCTAAAGGCGCTCCTGCAGCCTTTTAATTTTCAATTAATTTTAGTCGTCTCCTATTTTACTGAACTTTGTATATATTGTGTTTTTATATGGTTTTGTGCTTTTTATCTGTAAACCATCCAGAATAACTCTGAATGTGAGAAGGGCAGTACCTAAATTTGATAGATAAATAAATAAATAAATAAATATAAATAAATAAAATCCAGTAGAGTGCCAAACATATCTGTAGGAAACCATTGTGATGCACATTCACTTTTTCTGTTGATTGTCCTGATTCAAATTTCTAGAATGTAGCTCTTGAAATCTGATTTATTCTTCTCCATAAAGTATGCTCACAAACTGATTAGAATGAGATGACAATCTTGTCAGACTGACCTTGAAAGCATGTACAATCTAGGCAGACACAAAAATGTTAAAATATGACATATAATTTATTTTTATTACCGCAAGATACTATTTTGAATAGGGAAACATTTTCTAGGTGAAACTGGCTGCTGTAAAGCCAAGTGGAAAAATCACTGGTATTTTAAGGGCAAAGTAGCGATAAAAATTCTGTAAAACACAAGGGCCAGTTTGCTGACTGCATTATATCAGCTAATGCTGGAAACCCAGAAGAATAAGAATAACTCTTTTCTACTAAGAAACCTGTACCCAATTTTCTAAATACTTTGATGTAATTAATTCTAAAAAGAGGAATAGTAGTTCTGCATTCTTAATGCGTCTTTTGGGAAGAGAAATAACTCTTTCAGATTTGGTAATAGTGTCAAGAGTTAGTCATGAAAGTCTAGGCTTCTGCAGTGATAGTGGGACAAATGAAGAACATGTTACTACTTCCTCACACAAATACTGCAATTTACATACATCAGTTATCAGATACAAGTAATTTAATCTTGGCATCTTGTACACATATAATTTTGTCATCATAATGGTTTGTTGTGGATACCCTATATGAAACAAAAGATTTTCTCCAAGTGAACTGGGATACTTTGGTTCAACTTAAATTGGCTAAAAACAACTACATTGGGTTTCAAAGAGTTTAAATTGCACCTTAGTTATAATATATCCCCATTTCTAACAGTGGCCTATGTGGGGACAGAATGCTATGGTTCCTTTTTCCCATATAATTGTCCCGACTTAATAGTTTAAACGTTTCCTAAGTTAAATGTGAAGGACTTGGAAAACCAGTTTTCTACAGAGTGTCCTACTATGTTGAAATGTGGGCAGAAGCTTCCTGGATTCAAATGCAATGAACACGGAGAGGAGATTAAAGCTGAAAGTATTTATTAAGCATAGCTTAATAGAATAACTTTAATTGCAAAATATAATGTAGATAGGAAGTATCTACAGACAAGTCAATAAAACAAAGCACGGCAACAGAAGAGTGTAAATAGAAGATGAAATTTCATATTCCTTTGGTACATGGCAGTCCCTTTTCATCAAAAGCAGTAATGGATATTCCCCAATTTAATCCAGGTAGTTTATAGGAAATTTCCTGGATAAGCTTACATTAAGGCTCACCCCATGTAAGTTTCTGAAAGCTTATATAATATCCTCCTACAATTATTTATCCCTCAAATGATGCATATTTATTGTTTGTGCAGAAGAAGCCATCGTGGCACAGTGGTTAAAATGCAGTATTGCAGGCTAACTCTGCCCACTGCCAGGAATTCAAACCTGACCAGTTCAAGGTTGATTCAGTCTTCCATCCTTCTGAGGTCACTAAAATGAGGACCCAGAGTGTTGGGAGTAATATGATGACATTGTAAACTGCTTAGAGAGTGCTGTAAAGCACTGTGGGGCAGTATATAAGTCTAAGTCCTATTGCTATTGTTTATCCTCCTCCTTTGATAACTTTTGATAGTTATCAAAAGTTTTGATGTGAGATAGTATCAACTCCTACATTACACTCTCTCTGTTAGATTATTAGCCCTGGCAAAGCACTTCTAGAAATAGCATTCTTGAACCAAACTGCTTGAGAAATTGAAAAGGAGGTGGGTAACGAGTGCTCAGCCTTGTAGGCACAAGCATTTTCTACAGGGACAATGGAATAAACCACCTAATCTCCTTGTCATTTACTACCATCTATAGATAAACATTGTTCTTGTTAGGGTAACATTCGGAAACTCTCAAGCTTTAAAAACAAATGAAAAGAATACCTCAAAGATGTTCATAAATCAAACATAAAGATTTATATAGAAAACAGAACTGTCCCATGTCTAACATCTCTTCCTCTCTCCAGATAATTCTGATCCTGACCATGAGAAAGCTACCAGATGTTGCCTGCCCTTGTAATGATTATCTGGATTTTTGCAGGCCAGATCTCTAAGCTCTACTGGAAGCTCTGGGCAGAATCAGAATTGCTGTGGGAGGGAGGCATTTTGTATTAGTTTCCTAGCTTTATCCTAGGCTGGCTGGGGAAGTCTGGGAGTTGACGTCCACACATCTTAAAGTTGTTGCAGTTGAGAAACACAGATGTAAGGCAATCAGGTGAACATTTTCCTTACTTTTCTTTGCTCTCTCCCTACTCCATCAGCATTAATGTTCATAGAAGTGTCAACTTTCTGACTTCTCTGTTCTCCCTTGATCATAGCAAATAAAATGACACAGATTATCGAGAACACTGTGCCCTTTGTTTCAGTCTATGCGCAACTTGCTCCCCTGTTCTCACGTCAGAAAACTTCTCCATCCCTTGCTGTTTCCTCTTTAAGCTCACCCACTTACGAATTACAAATCCGTGAAACTTCCTCACACCTGCTGTGAACTGAACCTCAGAGCTCCTTATGAATTTAAGCCAAATGTCTGAAGAAATCCTGCACAGTGTTTGATAATAACAATTCTAATAAACACTTTATTATAGCTACTTATGATCTCTAACATTAGGCATAGTCTGAACCCCTGCAATTTTCAGCAAGGCTCAACGCTAAGTGCTTCACTGCCCACTGTGAATGCCTCTTAAGACCTCTCTTGGAAACTAATCCTTTGGCCTTACCATTTTTCCACATATCCTTTTCTAAAGAAGCAAAAAGCTCTGAATCACCATGCCAGGTACTTATATGTGAAAGCACATAGGTGTTTCCCATCACATATATTATTATTTAGGAATTGTGGCATGCAATCAATATCAATTCTCTGCAGTGCTCCATAGTATTATTTCTCCCATATATAGAGTCACAGAACTTGAAACTTGAAATAGATGCGTGTTCTATTCAAATACCTGCTTCATAGTTGTTTTGCAGGTTAGCAATGTCCTGATTAAATAGCTGGGACAATATCTGGACAGAAAAGATTGTTAGGATACTTTTACTAAGCTTTGCCTTGCTAACTGCAGACAGAAGTGATTAGAAGAGCTGGATTCTATAAAAATCCTTGATATGCATCTTTCAGTGTTTTGCAGTGAAAACAGGAAAGGGATACTCTGTCATCTCCATTTTATCTGTAGAATATTAGCCCTTGTAGACATATGACATTTGACCTTCTCAAGAAGCTGAATAATTAGAGTTTAAAAAAAAACCAAAAAAAACACACCTGCTACTCAGATACAAAAGCATTATTATTTGGCATGCCTGTCTGGAATCCTAAGAAAGTGGGTGGAAATGAAGTCAATGATACATCAGGCAATGGATTTGGGTGTCATATGTTTGGATCCATTGTGCCCTACAAACATGGAAGTTGCAAAGGTACAGACAATTCCCATTTAGCACTTTCTCAATTTGTTGGGACTGTGTTGCCTAAAGTATACTCAGTTCAATTTTATGAAAGTTGCTATGCTGGACTAATAGCATTTGGATTTTCAATAACAATATAAAAAAGTGACATTTCACAAATAAATGATAGGGGAAACATGTGTTGAACATGATAAAAGAAAATTAGTTTCCAAAAAATAAGCCTTAAAATATGTAGTACTACAGAGCTGAATGTTA